ATAAAATATATATAAATATAAATCTTCACTTAATTACTCTAAATATTTATTAATGATTATGAAATCAATTCAAACATATTCATAATGATTCATATTTAATATATTTTGGTATTTTGTACAAACATTAAAAAGCAACAATTTTTTATCATTCTGAATATTTTAAATACTTTTAATGTTAATTTAGTATATGTCCTGTTGATAAGAAACGCTCTTTAGAAATTATTTGGTGTGAAATAAAAATCTAGAATACCTCTTTTAAATTACCATTTATTTAAACGCCCTGCATTAATCGTAAATAACACCATGCCCTTGGGTTAAAACTAGTGAAGCCGTATTGTTTAAGTTATGACGTCACAAATTGCCTAGATACATAGGCTCGAAAAATACCATAATAAGGGGAGGTACTTTTTTACAGATTTCGTTGTTAAAAATGCATAACTAATTCAAAAATCAGGTAAATCAACCTGTATTCAAATGTACCACATCTGATCAATAGCCTATTTACTTGTTGGAATGGATATTTTTATGGTTAATTAATTTTTACTACCAGTTTTAATGATAATTGCAGAATCATTTTGCTACGCCTATGTTTTTTACCCCCAATTGACATCATCACCGATGTTAGGTTTTTGCTTCTTGTTTTCCTCCCTTTCACTATTCGGGGGCATGACTACCGTTTTAATTTCACAACTATGATAACATTCTGTTATGATAATACAATTTTATTTATTCACAGGGTAATCAGAAAGATTGGAATTAGTTTTAAACAAGATATTCAAATCCACATTTTATAAAAATAAGATTTTAGAAGCAGTCACAGCAAACTAACAATAAAAAGATTTATTTACTTTTCAAATTCTCATATCTTAATAACGGCAGGTGAATAATCAAACTATTCTTATTCTAAAGGAATACTTATGAAAAAGAGAAAATAAATTGTTCTTTAATATTCTAAATTTGTATTGTTTATTATTTCGGTATTAAAAAAATGAAAGTAGGGCAGTCGACTTTATTTATTCAGCGTATTCACAAAAATAGCGTCGTATTCTGAATTTTAGCAATAGCAACACGAGATACAAATTTTCAAAAACAATAGTCTTACATTCTTCCTAGTATTTTAAATACATGTAATATTAATTTCAGGAAGAATGAAGATGCCCAAGCTGTCGATGAAAAATATCGATAAGAAACAATTTGACGTGTTATTGTAAAAACTCAGAGTATAGAACTCTCATTATTCAATGTTCTTTTGAATTAATTGTAACATTTGTTCAAACGCCTTGTACGGTTTAATCGTTAAAAACCATGCCTTGAATTAAAACTAGTGAGGTTGTAAATATCACTTAGTGACATCACAAGTTGTCGAAGGACATAGGCTCGAGCAATTTTATTGTTAAGAGGGGCATTTTTTTACAAATGTTATTGTTAAAAAATACGTCGATAGTTGTTGAAGTTGGCTAAATTAGTAAGTGCTTAAATCTACCACGTCTGAGCAGTATTTCATTTACTTGTTTAAATGAGTATTCTTATTTTTAACTAATTTTTGACAGTAACTTTAATCATAATTGGAGAACCGTTCTGCTACGCCTATGCCTTTTGCCCGTAATTGACATCATCGCCAATTTTAATTGTTGCTTCTTTTCTATATCGCATCTGATTGTACATGGGCATGGCTATCATTTTAGTTTCATTAAAATCTATAAATAACATTTTTATGTATTTATACACAGGGTAATTGGAAAACATTGGAGTTACTTTTAAACAAAAAATACAAACCACATATTCAAAAAGGGGTTTTCGCGGTAAAGACCCTTAAAACGATAAAATTTAAATTAGTTTTATGATGATTACATTAGAAAAACGATAAAGAGCATTTAACTGCCCCTAAAAGATAAAAACTATAATCTTAAAAGAATGAAATTATGTATTAATTACTTTTAAATATAAAATACAAATCCACATTTTCAAAAAAGGCTTTCGAGACAATGACAGTGTAAACAATTAAAATGAAACAATTCTTTTTTTATGAAGATTTTACTAGAACAAAATACAATGCATTTAACTGCCTTCAAAAGATTCTTTTATTATTTAAATACTCATATCTCTAATTAAGTTATCAAACTATTCGCATTCTTAAGCAACCTCATAAACGGAAAATTATCCTTTCTTATCATTCGAAGTTTTTTTAAACGTAGATAGATATTGAATGTAAATATAATTTTCTCACTTGCATCGTAAAAAAAACAAAATAAATGCAGGCTTTCTGTCAATATTAGTGAAGTTTTAATTAAGGAAGTTTGTGACGTCACAAGTGGTAAAAACATAACCGGCGAAAGTCCTGTTGTCAAAGGGAGCTGTTATATATTACCTAAATGTACTGCAATAATTGGTTAATCTCGGGTATAACTTTAAGGGTTAATTTTTAGATGTTATTGATGATTAACGTACTTTACTTTTGTAAAAATTTTTAAATTTCTTCATGTGTTTATGGTATATATAGTTAAAAGTTAGAAAACTATTGCGTTACGACTATGGTTTTTGCCCACAATCGTGGTCATTTTTTGAAGTGAATTAATTCTTATAATGGGTTCATATTGTGTATGCAAAATAATACGTAAAGGCGTGCTATTTCTAATGAAGTTGGGTCTTTTTAAAGATCTTGTATAGTTGTCAACGTCAAGTATTAAACATAACCATAAATGTGGTTGTTATTTATCTTATGTTAAATTACTTTGTTTCTTTTGAATTATATCATAATCACCACATTTTTAAGAAAATGGAAGAATACATTTGACTAAAGCACTGTTGAGAATGAGTTTATTTCGAGCAATGCGGAAAACTATCTCAAGCAACTCATATTTAATTTGTGGAATTATAATTGGAATTTTAATTTCTCAGGGTTTAAATAATCTTGATTGTGATAAGTCTATACGTATTTTTGAGGAGACTCAATTTGTTAATGAAGAAAACGTCCTGCCCAATGTCGAAGTCCGGGTGCCTAATGGCAAAGTTCAAGTTAATGTTGTCAAGAAAGTTGTGGAAGAAAAGAAAACAGAAAAACGAATTACCCGACCCCGCTATTATTCAACAGAACTTGGAATTCGAGAGAAACTGTTTGTTGGAATTTTAACAGCAGAAGAAAGACTAAACACCCAATGTATTTATCTTAACAGAACAATCGGACATTGTCTGGATCAGATAAAGTTTTTCATTTCCGTTCACAGTAAACCAAAGGGAGAATATAGTTTAACCAATATAGTCGGTTTCACTGACACAAGACTCAAATACAAACCATTTCAAGTTATCAAATACCTCAGTGACAACTTCATACAACAGTACGACTTCTTTTTCTTAATGAACGATTATAATTTTCTTGATGCAAGACGATTAAAAGATGTCGTTAATAAAATAAGCATCAGTCAGGATGTGTATTTAGGGACAACAGCAAAAGACAGTAGCTTTTGTGACTTAAGTATGTAAGGACAATATTGTATTGCATTTTAAATTAAATTATGGCAAAATTACTTCTAGATGCAGGGATAGTTTTAAGTAATTCAGTTGTAACATCGATTAAAAATAATTTGGAATGGTGCATTAAGTATGCCATATCTGAAGATCATAGTGAAAATTTAGGTAGGTGCATTCACTTCAGTACAGGCTTGGAATGTCAAGAACAAGTACAGGTAAATAAATGAATCACATAAAAAGCGTACAATTTGAGAAAGTGTTTTTTACAGAGTCAGAGTTTGAACAGTTACAAATTAAAACATTTTGGTTTGAAAAAGCACTTTGATAAACTTTCTCGCTCAGAAGAATTTAACAAGGCGTTATCAATATATCCTGTGTTACAGGAACATGAATTTTATTTACTCAATTCGTATTTTTCAAGGGTAAGCAGTGGTTTTCTTTTGTTATGTTAATTCAAACAATTGCTGTAAGCATTTTATTTTGTTTTAATCATTTGTTTAAATAATTGCAACCAAGCAAGTGTGATTTGATATACTTTTGTTTTTTTTTCAATTTTTAGTTAAGACTGGAAGAAATAAACGAAAAGATTGAGAAATTATCATTTGATCTCAGCAACAGCTGGCCCCCAGGGGAAAAACCGTCTGTCAAGCCGGCCACACGTTTCGACTTGCCACGCCAAATCTATTTTAACACCACTCATATGTTCTTCCCTGACGATTTTACAAACATTCGACCCCACAAGACCCCAGATTTTGAGGATATTCAGGTAACTTAACAAATACCATGTATATTAGTCACTATTTGATGATGTTTATGTCTTCAGAAAATAATTTCTGCAGTTGTCGAAAAAGTTCACAATGACAATCCGAGTGGCTTTATGTTCCGAAGGCTTATCAATGGCTACAGGACTTTCGACTGGTCTCGGGGACTCGACTATGTCGTCGATTTGGGTTTTAGGGATCTCAACACGGGAAAGGAGGTTGTAAAAAGGTCGGTTCTTGAATGTATATATGGAGCGTTTATTTATTAGTTATTGTGTCTTTTTCTGCATTATTTTAGATTTGAAGTATGCAAACCGTTGGGAAAAGTGGAGTTCGTATCGGCCCCATACGTCACCGAAAGTACGAGGGTGATAATGCTTGTCCCTGTTCAAGAAACTGAGGCCGAAATGGCCCACAGTTTCGTAAACAATTTCGAAAAAACGTTCATGCAAAACAAGCACAAGGTGCTTCTCGTACTGGCGTTTTTATATCGGTACGGCGAGCCTAGTAAAGGGAGCGAAGACGTTTTCAAACAGCTGAAAGACGACGCTCAACGATTGACAAGCGAATATCGAAGCGAAGACAGCAAAATCATATGGGTGTCTGTCAGAATGCCGAAACCAAAAGACGATGGTAGCGACGAAAGAATCGATTTGGACGAAAATAAATTGATGCAGTTCGCAGTTGTTGATCTGGCATTGAAGAAAATTGGGGCCGATAATTTGATGCTTGTTCTGGACGTGTATGCTGAGCCTGGGGTTACTTTTATCAACAGGGTCTGTATACGTTTACGTATTATTTATGGTGGAGTACAGATTATAAAAAGGATTAACGTTTTAGGTGCGAATGAATACAGTAGTTAATTTCCAAATTTTCAACCCCATTCCCTTTCGTCAGTATGACCCAAAAGTGTCAAAGGTCAACACTGCAGACATTACCAAAGACTCGGGCCACTTTGATAAAGAAGAATATAAATACATTTCCTTTTATGGCAGGGACTACGTTAACAGTAAGTTCTTCCGTTTGTTTTTTTTTTTTGGTGTTTAGTAGAAAACGATATTTTTTTAGTTTAATTTTTCATTTTGTTTCTTTGTTTTGCTGGTGTCTTTTCAACTGTTTGAATACTTTTTTTTGTTTCTCATAAAAAAACACGACGTCCTGCTTCTTTTGTTTTCTGTGTTGTTGAACTTCTTTTTTTTTACACAAATATTTTGCTTTTAGTGCGACGAAAGTCTGAGATGGAGCTACCGATCGTAAAAGCAGATAGCGACATCGAAAAACTATTCCAAATCCCTAAAGGCACTGAGACAACTGTTTTCGGTATGTTTGTGAAATATTGTAAGGGATTGCACGCCATGAGAGCGACTGAAACGGCGCTAATCGTCAAATACCATTTGGAGAGGGGGCCCAGAGAGAACCTCTTCATTGGATCAAAAACGCAACTCGCCAAAATGATTCTGAGCAACGAAGACAGGATCGGATTTAAGCTTTAACAAAAATAACAAGTAAAGTATTGTTTTCTTTCGCTTTTTGTTTGTTTTTTTTTTTGTTTTAAAAGAAACATCTTGTTTTTTTGAAAGGAAAAGGAAATCGAATTGAGACTCGCATGTGACATACAGAGTGTTTGATTTGCACCTTGGCTCTTTTAAAATTTGTTTCAAAAATTCAGTAAGGCTTAATCTTGACCAAAATAACTTAAAATTTAAAAAGAAAACATTATTTTTTTTGCATTAAATCAATCAGTATTTGGTAAAGTGCAAGTTTAGGTTTTAAAATAAAAAAAGAAGATAAAGTTGCATTAATTAATTAAGCCTTGTTGTAATTAATGTGCCTATATATTTACAGGTAGCTTTTGATAAGATAACAATTTGTACACTAGGTATATTGCCAAAACCGAGTTAATTCAGAGTAGGCTTTAAGGTTTATAGAATTTTAATACGAATTTAAAAATAAAAATATTTTTTGTTAATAANATAACAGTGACTGTTAAGACAATAAACAACTAGTGATAATATGATAATGGAAAGGCTTATCTCGTTTATTATATAGTTCATGCTGCGATTATCATTATAAGTTATTATTAATATAATCTAATTTTATTTAATTTTTTTAATTTTTTATATTATATTTTACATTTATAATCGCCTTCGGTAAAGACAAAATCGTATCACCAATCTGAAAACAAAATACGAATAAAACAAATTACACACAAATCGACAGCAAACGTTGTCTAGGTACTCAATTGTTCTTTCTGCGTCGTTCCTATTGTCGACTGTCTTACGTTTTAAAACAATTTGGAAGGCTTACTAATCAACCGTTCAAAATCAAATGTGCAAAGACTAATCGAAAGAAACCATTCAAGTGTTACGTAAAGCACATTTTCATCAACTACACTTCAATGATCCTAAATATGATTAAATACTGACACTTACCTCCACCCGAACGTTACATACATTATTGATTAATCGGAATCAGAACCGGACTCTGAGAGACACAAATCTTCGCTAAGAATATGTGCAGGCATTGAAAGTGACGGTGACGAATTCGAGCCGAACGCGAGCCCATTTGCGTGATGTCCGTTTCTTCTTGACGTGGCCGTCGCGGAGGCATTCGCACCTGTAGAAGATCCTCCTCCACTGCCGCCACTTGTCCCGCTCTTCAGTCCCTTGACGTTACTCGCCGTTGTCTCGTGATCGGAACCGGAGTCGCTGTCACTAGAACTGGACGACGTGTCCGATATTTCACCAATTAAATCACGACCGTTTTGCTGATTTTGCTGCTGCACGGGGAGAACGGGGGGCGACCTCTTGCTACTCAGTGGAGTGGCCCCGATCGACGAGGATGACGAGTGAGGGACGACGGGGACCGGCGGTTCCGTTATATCGTCCATGCCTATCATCGGAAGGCTGGCTAGAGTGCTCTGAGAATGAGTACTACAAAAAAAGAAAAGATTACATTAGAGTGACATATGAATTACAAAAGAAACAGAAAACGAAAATAGAAACAAATGAATGGAAGATAAAAAACAAAAGAATGGAAAATAAAAGACTGAACAACAGTGAAACAAAAGTCAAAAGTATTTAACTTACTCATTATTGGTACTATTATTTACAAGGTGATCCCTCTTCGGGGACTTATAATGTCCCGGAGATGAGTAGCTGGGACTGGCGTGTAGGGGAGAATGTTTGGGTACGAGATGGGTGATGGGTCGATCGGGTCGACGACTGCCACTCGTAACTCGCGTTTTGTTAGACGTTCGCTGCCCTATCGGGGGTGTTTGAGGTCTATTTGGTCCACCTAAAACGCCCGCGCTTAGTCTATCGGAAGAGTTCGGAGTGTTTCTGTCGCTCGAGCTGGAAACTACTTTTGGACAAGAAAATTAAATTAATATTTTTTTAACAAATTATTAATTGAAGTACCTTGAGGCAAAGGTGGCTTAATGGCTTCACTTCTCGTTTTCTTAACTTGAATATTACTAGATAATTTTTCTAAGGTAATCACGCCCGTCACCCTATCGATTATGAGCACACATTCCTTATGGTATGGCCGTTGAGACCCTTTGAATACTGTTTGTGGAACGCCTGCTCCATCTTAAATAACAAATTAACTGGTAACATAAATTCTCTGCACTTTCTTAAAACAACTGCCATCAATTATCAATTATTTTTTCCTATTTTCAATTAATAAGCGAATTGTAAACAAATGAATACTTTGAACAAGGCCTTATACAATATAACAGAAAGAAATGAGTTATGTAAACAAAGATTATATTAATTTTATCATTCTCACAAAGATATAATTAATCTTGCTCAAACTTATTTTGCTAAATTAGTTCTTTCAGAAATTTTGTAACAGAATACAAATATGAACTTTAATTAGTGATAACCTTCGCTATATTCTTGTTATTGTATTACTTTTCCAGTATACATTTACAAATTGTCCTCATTTCAATACTAGACTGATTAAAAGATGATTATGAGTTTACAGGTAAAACAGATTTATCTCTTGAAATAATAAGTATGCTTTTAATCGCTTCTTAAACTGAAGTTTGGAATTTATACTTTATGTAATTAACTTATGGACTCTGTAATTTTATTTTCTGAACTCACCTAAGTGTGGTACGGTTACAGTAACTTGATTATTGGAACTCACTTCCACACTGGCCATCTTATTAATGTCAACTGAGGCTGGCTTAAAATCATCTAAAAATGGAATTAAAAAATCATAATATTCACTTAAAATACTGATACGGATATTTGTAATAACAAGACTGAAAATATAGTCTAGCATTAATCAGGATGCGAGTCAATTTTGAAGTAGAAATTCAGACAAATTTGATGTCTTTGAATTAGTTCTAAACCACATAATTATTCTTGCCTAGTGTTTGTTAGTTTGTTGAGGTTGAAAAGGGAATAGGATAAAGAGTGATATTTTGGGAACGAAGGCAAGTGTAAAGGTCATTTGAAATCCTATTAAAATATGGTTTGCAGTTGAAGGTTAAGGTTACACTTACAGCGAACAGTGTGAAATGCAGAAGACTTTGGACTGGTGAAGCTTTGTCCGAGCTTTAGCTGTCTTTCACCGTTCCCCAGGCCCAGTTTATCTGCCATATTTTTTTTGTTTTACTCCATCTCAGGTCGGGTTGGTTCTCTGAGGAGTCCTTGGAACTGTAAACGCGATTAATTGAAAATTATCCAATAGGAATCGATCGAGTTTTTAGTCTGCTTTACTCACCTTTTAAAAACTGAAAGAAATATTTGGTACTATTAAAGAAATTCGCTAACATATGAGCACACGTATTGAAAGGTAATATTGACCTAATTCCCCCCCACTTCCCCCTTAAACAATTACCTCGATTGCCTATCTCAGAACAGAACGAACAGAACAACAATTACATTACAATTACCGACCTGTCTATGCGACCTGTCAGTGTCACAGCCACACACGTTATATTATTTTGACAGATTCTGAACTCTGCTAACAATAGCATAGTTGCAAACCAAATGTCAAGAAAAATAATGTGTCTCCCATACCATTAATTTTATTTTTAATGTAAAATTCCTTTAATTAAAAACATTTAAGAATGACCATATATTACAGTTAATTAAGCATTACATGTTTAGTTTTCATAAATAAATAAATAATATTCTAACATGCTCACTAAGGGTTAAGTAAAGTTAGGTTAGGTGTTGTTGACTTTACATGACAGTTTAATATCAGTTTTTGTTTTAGTAAATTTACTTATTACAAATAAAAATATGTGTTGGTTGTACACATTTTTTAAATAAAACAGATTTAATCAAACAAGTTAAATAAATATAGTGTTGCATTTATAACAGTGACTGTTAAGACAATAAACAACTAGTGATAATATGATAATGGAAAGGCTTATCTCGTTTATTATATAGTTCATGCTGCGATTATCATTATAAGTTATTATTAATATAATCTAATTTTATTTAATTTTTTTAATCGAGTGCTACCGGCTGCAACCGGGTTGGGTGCGTGGGTGGGGATGATAGTAAAAATGACAAACGCCATGTTGTTCTAATCAGTGTTGTGTTCTGTCAAATTTCACATATTTATTGTAAAATAGTGTTTTAAAATGGATGAAACGAAAGTAATTTATCACATAGACGATGAAGAAACTCCGTATTTAGTGAAAATACCAATCGCGCCAGAGAAAGTGACTTTGGCAGATTTTAAAAATGTTTTGAATAGGCCCAATTATAAGTTTTTCTTTAAGTCGATGGACGATGATTTTGGGTAAATATCGCACAATTTTGGGTGTATTTTGAATAGTTTTCGCGATTTGCGGCGCTGTTTTAACGATTACATGAGCTAAAAGCCTTAATTTGTATTAGAAAGCAAGTAGGTGTTCCACGGTCATCAATCTTATTTTGACATCTCATGTATAAACAGCGATTTATAATTATCAGCGAACGAATAAAAATATTAATAACCGATTAAGGAATAATGGTTTCATTGTGTGATTAATATAACTGGTCGTTTTATAATTTTCTCTATTCCAGTGTTGTGAAAGAAGAAATCATCGACGACACTGCTCATTTACCATGTTTTAATGGTAGAGTTGTTAGTTGGGTGAGTGACGTGTGGAAATTTAATTAAATCAAACAAGTCTACGTTTTATTTGTTTGTTTTAAATTTGATAGTTGGTGTCAGCTGAAGGTTCAAATCAATCAGATGGTGGTTCACAATGTACAGACAGTGTAACACAACCAGAACAAAGACTGCCACCCCAACCACCAGATTCGGTATGTACAGACACAGAAAGCATTATAAGTTCTCGTCAGGCTCGCAGACACCACAAATATCCTTCACGTATCAATGGACACATGCCCAGGTATATCATTTTCAATAGCTTAACTTAAGACAAAAATAAAATATTTTTTCACTTTTTTTAATTGTTTCATTGTTTAGGTAGATGTCTTTTGTTTCTAAATGAGCAGAATAAAACATTTGTTTGATTGTTTAGGTTATATGAAACGTCTTCAATGGTAAGTTCAGATTTGGAAACGACTAGTTTTCAATCAGAGACCACAGGACGCCACACAGCGTTATCAGAATGTTCCAGTGTCAGTAGGTTGCACGTAGCCAATAGAAAAAGACCACAAAGAAGACGGAAACAGAGACTGCAGGTGAGTATCCTTAACTGTGCATTTACTGAAATTGATTATTTGTTGAAATTGTCAAATGTTTCACAGGCAATGTCACGAACCAGTTCGTATTCAAGTATAACGGACTCCACGATGTCTTTGAACATTATAACAGTTACGTTGAACATGGACACAGTGAATTTTTTAGGCATCTCTATCGTAGGACAGAGTAATAAAGGTGGAGATGGGGGAATTTATGTAGGATCAATAATGAAAGGGTAATTTTTGTGCCTAACTCAATAATGTTGGAAGATGTTGATTTTTGGCTCGGATTTTTAGAGGTGCCGTGGCCCTAGATGGTAGAATCGAACCTGGGGACATGATTTTGCAAGTGAACGACGTCAATTTCGAGAACATGTCCAACGATGAGGCCGTCAGGGTGCTGAGGGAAGTTGTACAAAAGCCAGGGTGAGTTTTAAGACTTTATATACATCTTATGTGGTTTTTATGCCTTGTTGTTTCTTTAGACCTATTAAATTGGTTGTTGCAAAGTGTTGGGACCCAAATCCAAAAGGTTACTTTACAATTCCTAGGACTGAACCTGTTCGGCCCATTGATCCTGGTAATATTACATTAAAATGTGAAGTTCATTGATTTTGATTAATATATGGGTGTTTTAGGGGCTTGGGTGGCGCACACGGCCGCAGTTAGGGGAGATCCGGTGGTCAGGCCACCCAGTAGTTCGACAGTATCTAGTGCGTCGATTACCAGCACCATTCCAGCTAACGAAAGGGAATGTTTACTTGGTATGTAAAGCTAAAACTTTCATTTGTTGTTCAATTCGATAACTACAAAATAAGTAATAAAAATAAAAAAAAAATGATGCTTGCTTTGTCTTTTTGTATTGCTTATTGTTTTGTTTTCAGAATTAGAAGAGCCCTTGACGATAAACACGCCAATGGCAACGGTTGTGCAGGCGATGCAGAGGCCGGACAGCGGTCTCGAAATCCGAGACCGCATGTGGCTAAAAATAACGATACCAAACGCATTCATAGGTACCGACATGATCGACTGGCTTTTGACCCACGTCGAAGGATTTCAGGTATATATTTGAAACACACATTCTTTTTTTTTTTATTGTTAAAAACTAAACACGTAGATTTATTAATTACAGAAATTGACGTCTTTGTATTTTCAGTTCCAAATTCTTTTGTTTTTAACAACTTTTGTTCTTTACCTTAAAACATTCGCAATAAATTCAAAAATTCACTTGTTTTTATTCAAACAAAAGCGCGTCCCATTCTGTTTTGTTTTCAATCGTTTGTTTAGATTATTATCGTAGAGTTGTTTATTTTATTAGGATCGCCGGGACGCCCGCAAGTACGCGTCGCACCTCCTGAAGGCCGGTTTCATACGTCACACGGTCAATAAGATCACGTTCTCAGAGCAGTGCTACTACATATTCGGTGACCTCTGCTCGGCCATGTCAAACCTCAAACTGCAAGAGGACGCTGACTCGGTAGGGCCGTTGCCAAACGTGCCGAATTACATGCCCTACAGCGGCACCTACAACCCTCTGGAGTACATGCCGATGCCCTTTTATACCGCCAGCGAGCACACGGTGTACGGATACAACAGGGAGGAGTCTGTCCTCAGCGGAAGTGGTAAGTCAACATTTGATTAAATAATTCTCGATTAGTTGCTATTTATTATTTATCTGATTGGTTCAATTAAGTGGTTGATTTGATTGATTTTTTCGTTGATGATTTTATTGATTAGATTGGCGGATTTAATTAATTGAATGGTTGCCATGTTTGATTTGATTGTTTTATGACTAGGAGGGTCGTCAAACGGTTCGGATCACTTGAAGGATCCGGTGGCGCAGAGCAGTCCGTCTGACAGCGATCTGACGTCATTGGGGCCGAGGTCGGCGTTGCCCATGGCCACGGGGAATGGTAACGGATCGTCGAACGGGTCGGATCAGAGCAGCGGGACGCAGGTGGCGGCGCAATCGAAAGACATAGCCGGTAGTAGACAATCATTTAAAATTGCTATGGGTAACCCTTGCGAAATGTTCGTAGATGTCATGTAGTAGGTAGACAGCGCCTCAGTTCTCACTCCATCTTTTGTTTTATTTTTTCTTTTTTTTTTTCTTTTGAAGAGGGGATCGTTCAACTGTTACGTATGTCAGCACGTTTAGAGAAATGGGCTTTAAGATTTTTCTTAAACGGTCAATTGTTTTGTCATCTGGAATATAGACAAATTGTACAGTAACATATTAGAAGAGGGGGGGGGTTATGTTTTCAAGCACACGGACACCCCATACAGAACAGAGGGAAGTTACCCAATTGTTTTTTACTCTGGGGGGTCGGATGAGGGTGTCGTAGTTACTAAAAATGTGCTTACGTAATATTTGAGTTGGCCCCCTTATTAAACTCGTCTGTCTATCTTTCCTTTTTTGTCTCTTTATTTTTTTTTTTNTAGATAATTAATAAATCAGTAATTTTTTCTTTTTGCGTTTTTTAGAAACTTGAAGCGATTATAAGAGTTTAATGTACTTAATAGCAGTAAAAATACAATTTTTCATATAGATATGATTCATTTGAACAGATAATATTCTTTTCAGTTCATGTTTCGCAGCAGTATTTAGTTCCTAAGGATGGTACTCCATTGGGTGGTTTGATACAAGATTATATGGTTTCTGGGGTGAAAATGACCATCAGGGGGAAATTTTTTAATAAGTAAGTACCAACAAGCAAAGAAAAAAAAGGAAATTATAATTGTGGAATTGCTTATTTAATAATTTTTCATAGCATCTCTTTTTTTTTAATTATATTTTGGTCTTTATAGAGTTGATTATCAACATCTAGTATTTCAAGCGTTGTCTTTCAAGACTTCGGAAATTAAATTGTTACCTCCGTCGATCATCAAGCCGGCTTGTCTTTGGTCTGGGAAGCAGATTATTTCCACTATAATTATCAACATCATTCCCAAAAACAAGCGTCCCATAAACTTGACTTCATCTGCAAAACTGGGAGCAAAGGTGAGTTAAACGTTATCAATTAAATATGAATAATTATTCAGATTATTATAAAATCTATATTATGTAACGAATTTCTTTTTGAACTTCTGATGTTAGTAAAATAATAATTGTATTAAAATGGTGTATATATAAAATTGATATTTTAAGTATTATNCAGAAGTTATAATAAGAAATGGTGAATTATTGGTAGGAGTTATAGATAAAATACATTGTGGGGCAACGCCTTACGGTCTTGTTCATTGTATGTACGAGGTTAGTATTCTTTATTTTTTTAATTAATTAATTAATTCTGTCGTTCTTTTATTTTTTATTGCAGTTGTATGGTGGTCAGTATGCCATAAAATTGTTGAGTGCCTTCTCTAAAGTGTTCACGTCGTTCCTGCAAACGGAAGGATTTACTCTTGGGGTTCACGACATCCTGGTGCTTCCCCATGCGGACAAAGAACGCCGTAAAATAATAAAGAAATCGCGTAAAATAGGGCCTGAAGTCGTTGCAACAGCTTTGGACATGCCCAAGGACTCTTCTCTGGATGAAATTGTCGAAAAACTGGAAGAGGCCTCTGCACGAAACCCGAAAATGAAAGCAATCATTGACAGACAATATAAGACTTCTATTGATGAGTATACAAATAAAATCAACAAGTATGATATTATTGAATATATCGAATAAGTTTTTATTTATTTTTTTTTTTCATGTAGGGTTTGTCTTCCGGCTGGTTTGCTTTGTAAATTTCCTGAAAACAATCTCCAGCTAATGGTTCAGTCGGGAGCGAAGGGATCAACTGTAAACACCATGCAAATTTCGTGTCTTTTGGGACAGATCGAACTTGAAGGCAAAAGACCACCCGTAATGATATCTGGAAAGTCTCTGCCTTCGTTTCCTGTTTTCGAATTTTCACCAAGAGCTGGGGGCTTCATAGACGGGCGGTTTATGACAGGTATTAAACCGCAAGAGTTTTTCTTCCACTGTATGGCCGGCAGAGAGGTAAGTCTTTTTGGTGTATGAACCATACAATCTCGTAAGGAAAAAGAGGATGCAATAATACATTTTCTTCTGAAGGGTTTGATCGACACCGCAGTGAAGACCAGTCGTAGCGGTTACTTGCAACGTTGTCTTATTAAGCATTTGGAAGGATTGACTGTCAATTATGATCTCACAGTTCGTGACAGCGACAAGAGTATTGTTCAGGTGATTAGTCAATTAATTTGTTTCTTTGTTTAAAACTTTTCTACAGAAAACACAACATAATCCCAACAGAGGTATGAAGAATACTTTTAATTGTTTTTCGTCTTTTTTTAGTTTCTGTATGGTGAAGATGGCATGGATGTTTGTAAAGCCCAGTTTTTGCAAAGTAAACAGATGGACTTCTTGATGGAAAATTCGAAAGCCATTATTGACAAGAAGATCATCAAAAGTTTGAAGAAGGATCCGGAAAAGAAGAGAATTGAAGAACAATACAAAGCAGTTAGTAAATGTTTCAGTATTTTGTTTAGAAATGTCTTCCTCTCTTGGTTAAAAATGTATTTTGTTTTTTCTTTATTAATGTTCGCAGACTTATTTAATTAATAATTTATTACAAAATGTTAGTGTAGTTATAATACTCTCATTCTTCTTCAAAATTAAGATCGACGATTGGAAAGAGAGGCATGGTAGTCCCTTGGATAAGAAAAGGACGAGTAGATTCGCCCTGTTTTCAGAACATGCTAAGAACAAGCTTAAAATCGAAAAACTTTTAAAAATCAAATCGAATACAGGCAGAAGTAAATTGTCTACAGCCATTTTGGACCTCTGGACTAGCGCCGAAGACGAAATCAAAGAAGGGTAAATATTGAAATTATTTTATGTTTTCTCTTATATACGGTGTGGTCCCCAATTGTAGTTGATTCAATCATTTGCGAATATTATACTATGTTTTAGTAAGTAAGGGTACAAATATAATTAAAAAAGTACTTTATTTTTTCACATACTTATTTACTTTAAGAAAAACTTAAAATGTATCAACTATTAAACCAACTCGCTATAATATGAATTTGTAAAACACGTTTAAATTTAGTTATCTTGTCTTTAGATTTGGTGGCTATTGTCGCCGTTGTCCTAATCCTGTGAATGCGGATTATCAAGCAGATTGCCACTATGGTTCGTTATCAGACAGGATGAAGTTGCTTCTGGACAATTACAAAAGCAAAAAGCCTATTGGCAAAGAAAGGAAGTCGTTCGAAGATATGTTAAAATTTAAATATATGCAATCAATGTGTTCACCGGGGGAACCCATTGGGATTCTTGCTGCACAAGTGAGTCACCCATCCAAGAGGTATAAGAAAATATAGCAGAACAGTTTTATTGTATTTATAAATATATACCTTATTTAATTACATCTTAAAATTTGTGACTTTTAGCGCCTGTGATATGTAAAAAATATACTCGTAATTCTGTTCCTTTCTGTAATAATTTGATTTATTTTGATTTAGTCTATTGGGGAACCAAGTACGCAGATGACGCTGAACACTTTCCATTTTGCTGGTCGTGGTGAAATGAATGTGACTCTCGGTATACCCCGTTTACGTGAAATCCTCATGTATGCATCAAAATCGATGAAAACTCCGTCTATGGAAATACCCTTCAAAAATATACCAAATTTGGAAAAAGAAGCCGAAAAGTTGAGGAAGAAACTGACCAGGGTAACGTTGGAAAATGTACTCGAAAGGATCGAAGTTTCCGCTCAATTGGGCGTCAAACCAGTCAGGTCAGATATTTTATTTACACTTCATCCCTAATATTCTCTTATTATATTTATTTATTATTATTTTGTTGTACTGCTTTCCAAAAAAAAATGACAAGTTTTTTGTTAAATATTATATATAAAAGAAATTATGAGTGTTGTCAGCACAGGGTAAGACACGAATGTACGATGTGTTGCATACCTATTTACAAAGAATTCCTTTAAATTTAATTTTTCGAACAATTTTTAACAGAAAGTAAGTGAATTTCGACTAGTCGAAGCAATGGTGCTAACAGTTTCGAGCTCACAGTAACTGATAGGGGGGACGAACTAGTTAAATTCAAAATTATTTTTATTGATTATTTCTTTTTGGTTCACAAGAAATCTTTTTTTGTTAATTTTTTTATTATTTTATTATCATTGCCTTACTTCTGGTTGTTCTTTATTGCACCCTGTATACTCATAATAATTGAAAAACAAGGGTATAGATTTTCTTATAATTTAATTGTATGTTTCTTGTTTTAGACAACAGTTGTACACAGTCAAGTTTCACTTTCTGCCCCAACACCTCTACGAACATGAATATCCTATAAAGGCGAAGCGAGTGATCAAAGCAATGACTACAAAATTCTTCGGCCTCTTTTTCATGACCATCAGACGATCCTCAAAAGTCAAATCGGTCCTGTAAGAACATATTTACGAATAAATGTGTGTATATCACATTAAATTTTATTTATTTTAGAGTGAACGTTGAGCAGGAGAGAAAAAAATCGAGAAAACAAATCAACGAGGATGACGATGATGATGATGGTAGTGCCGAAAAAGACAAGAAATTTGCAATGAGAAAGAACGAAGGGGGAAGTGATGATGATGAAGACTCCGGTGAGGAACCCGAAGATGCTGAGGATGCCAAGCAAACAAGTAAATACAGTCAGGTGCACGAAGATCAGGAGCCAGAAGAAGAAGAAAAGGAGAAGGAAGTGTCAGATGACGAGGGTAAGGTTTTTTTGTGCTTTAATAATAATATGCATGAAGTACATTATGTTTCTGGTTAGATTTTCTTTCAATTTTTATTTTTTATTATAGTCTCGAACTAAAATTTTTTTGAAATTGTCAAAACTTAATTCGTTAATTGTTTCCCAATTTCTTGTAACTTACGTTTAGATGGTGAAGCAATGGATACCACTGTAACAAACGAGGAAAATAGTAAGAAAAAGAAAAATCAAGAACATGAAGAGGAAGAAGAAGAAGACGAAGATGATACGGCCTTTTCGATGAATTCTATCAAGGGTTCTCACAATTTAGCTCAAAATTATACATACGACAAAAAAAAATATTTGTGGTGCGAATTAACTTTTGCAGTAAGTTAATATACGCTTTCATTATTTTCTTTACTTTTTTTGGCTTGCTATATTTTTATTAACTCCTTCGTTAATCCTTCATTCCTTTTTGTCCTTTATTTCTTTATTTTGCTTCTTATCTCCTCGCAAGTTTTTTTAATTAGGTATTTTGTTTGACTATTAAAGCTTATTTTTCTTTCTTGTATACGTAGCTGCCCCTGAATTGGAAAAAATTGGACTTGAGGGCCATTTTGAAAGAGAGCGCCGCCAAATGTGTTTTACACGAGGTCCCAGACATAAAAAGAGCTATCACGTACATGAAAAAAGATCAGCTGACCCTAAGAACTGACGGAATTAATATAATTGTAAGTTCTTTTCTTATTCTCTATAATCGCTATATACAGAGTGTTGCGTTTGAAATCCACTTGAATTATTTTTTATTATAAAATAACCAAGAACAAGCGGGTTAGAATAAATATAT